ATATATATATATATATATATATATATATATATATATATACTATTTTTTAGGCGGTTCTGGGTTTTGGTCTCTGTTTATTGCATTTACGATTCAATGCAACAAAATAAACAAACTCATTGTAATACTTGGTTTATTTACGTAATGACTTTATGTTCGGCCCCTGAGCTGCTGGCTTTCAGTAACTGTGGTTCCCTGAGCAGATCTGTTGAATTGTCCTGTTTTAGTGTGCAATACAGTTTATTCTATTTCCAAAACTAAACAAAGTCTGGAAAAATTTAAAAGATGAATAAAGCCCTGCGGCCGACCTCATGAGCATCTGAATACAACAGTTATAAACAGAAAGTACAGCATGTTCATCTGTACGAAGGTAACTGCAGGTAAATCCTCCATTTTCTGTCATAATTACATTGTATGCTTCATGGTTAAATTAAAGGTTAATGCTTAAAGCTAGTTGTATTTTGTTTTGTGTTATTTGTATTTAGCTATGTTGCAACTTCTGGTTACATGTGTTTAGTATTTGTTTGTTATGATCAGTTAAAACTGAAATGATTTTGTACAAAGTGTTTATTAGGTTGTGTAATGTAAATCAGAGCTTTACATTAAGACATAATGCTACGTCTGTAGCATCTTAGCTAGCACGTCCGTGTTACATGCTGCTAGCTTAGCGTTACTTCTTGTTGTGCCGAGCTCTCTAAAATAGTTATTGAATCAAGTGTTTACTTGTGTAGGTAAACACAGATGTTTAACAAGCTGTTCAAATACACCAGAATGCAGGACATGGCATCTAGTTTATTAAAATTTTTCTTGGGGAGGACCCCTAGACCCCCCCACCACCACCACCACCAGTGTGTACCCCTCCCACATAATACTTCTGATGCCAATGGCCACCACATTGTTCAAGCCAAGAGCCATTACAGGGCTAAGCACCCCTTAAAGTCAGATTCTAGAATCGCCCCTGGCTGAGAGTCAATCTCAACACACTCTGTGGACTAACACTTCATACAAACATAAGATAGTTTAAAACTCTGGCATGAAAGCTGAAGGAGGATATGTATCCTTTCAATGAATGCTTGACCCTCCTTTAATTAAGGCCCAATATAATACTGGTTATGGGGTGCCGTTTGTAAAGTTGCACAGTCAAAAATTAACTTCAGTATTTTGGTTTATTTAACTTTTAATAAGAAAGAAATTTTTTTTTTCAAAGTCATATTTTCACCATGCCCTGTGATGGACTTGCGACCCGTCCAGGGTGTACCCCGCCCCTCGCACAGTGATTGCTGGACATGGGCACCAGCGACCCCCGTGACCCAAAATGGAATAAACGGGTAAAGATAATGGATGGATGGATATTTTCACCATGTTATTCATACACTTATAAATGTCATAGTTCCCAACTAAATATTTAATTTACAAGATAAATATTTAGTTTACAAGCTAAATACTTAACTTGCAAGTTAAATATTTTGTTAGTAAACAAACTAAATATTTAGGTATAAATTAAATATTTAATTTACACCTAAATATTTAGTTTACTACCTCAGTATTTAACTTGCTAGTTAAGTTTTTAGTTTGTAAACTAAATATTTAGGTATAAATTAAATATTCAATTTACACCTAAATATTTAGTTTACTACCTCAATATTTAACTTGCTAGTTAAGTTTTTAGTTTGTAAACTAAATATTTATCTTGTAAATTAAATACTTAGTTTGGAACTATGACATTTATAAATAATAACATGGTGAAAACATGACTTTGAAACTGTTTTCTTTTCTTATTAAAAGCTAATTAAACCAAAATTATTTGTTAATTTTTGACTGTGCAACTTTACAAACGGCACTCCATAACTGGTTACCAGTTCTTTGAGCTCCATTTACTTTTATTTGGATGTGGTGCCAGCTCTTAAAATTGTGTTGGTTTGAAATGTGGATACAACAATCACGTTGCATGACATTTAAACTACCAGGAAAACAACATTTGTTGCATTAGGTCTGAATGGTTTGATGGTAAACCATTTCATTAGGTTCCAGGAAATACTGGAGTGAGATGGACGAATGATACAGCAAAAGCAGACTGTGTAGCAGAATGAGTGTTGATTTGACAGAAACAGAGATGCTGATGAAGGGTAAAGGGAGGGAGACATCATTGGGGCTGGCAGGGACATTACATAATCTCAATCAGACTAGGAGAGAAGGGAAGGAGGGAACAGAGGATGGGAGGATGAATCGAGGACAGGACGGACTGTGACTCAGACTTTCAGTGAAAAGAAACCATCTCTAAATGAAGACACAGTCACACACCACTCGCTCGAGACATTAAGAGCAGATTCAGCAGGTGTCAAAAAGACACACATAGTTTAGTTTGGTGGTTTTTAGACAAAGAAGTTAATTTCGAGGGCATTCAGAGCAAACGGGACAATCCTAACATTTGACAAGACATATTCTGATGAAGCATGAACCTGTGAAAAGATTACAAGTCAGACCCAAGTCTGTTTAAAGGGGGAAGCCTGCAATGAATGGAATTCCAAAGACAAGAGTCTGATTCAGTGCTTGTTTACAGTACACAGTATGGGGCTTTTTCAGAGATTATAGATAAACCCAAATCAAATGGGAGCTATAATCCCTGATAATCCAATAGAAACCTCTGCCTCCACAGCAGCCCGCCTGTCCTCCAGTCATAGAGACAACTGTCCAGTCATCACTGTATGAAGAATCAAACTGACTGGAGTGGAGTTACGTGCACATTAGTCTTACAGTTAGACTTTGAGGTTGATTTTATTATTTTCTTTCAACTGCTCCCTTCTTCAGGTGTTTCCACAGCGAACTAACTCACATGAAGACTTGACATTTGTATACCCTGGATGTCCTTCCTGAGGCAACCACCGAGCTACCACAGCCCTCTGTGTGGAGCAGAGAACTGCTATCTAGGGTGCTTAGGGGAGCAGATGGTGGGGGTTAATGGCCTTGATCAAGGACCCAGAGTGGGGTAGATGAGGACAAATGACTGTGGAGGCAGATGTGGGTGTTAAAGGACTTTAGGAGATTTTATTTATATGCTTTTTCTAGAATTTTGGTCTGGGGCCAGTTTGTAACTCCCTGACCCAAACTTACCCTCGGCTTCCATCACCACTTCCTTTGATTCTGTATATGATCACAGAGGAAGATGCTGCGCTCACTCTGGGTCAGTGTTGCCATGTGATGCAGACTGTGGTCAGCATGAGGAATCTCATGTACACAGATTAATTTCAGAACCTTCTTCAATGGCTAGTCTGGTTATTTTTGAAGTGATCTTCTTTCAAATAGCTGTCTATATTAAGTACCTCATCAGTACCCGACATCAGTCATAGAGCATGAAGTATTAAGAAAGAGACAAAAGTCTTCCTTAGAGTCTGTCTCAAAAACAACACTAATTCACTAATAAACTAGCAACTAATAGTCTGTGCCATGCAGCACTTTTGCATGACACAGACTTTTTCAACCAATAAAAATTGATAGTACTATAGGAATGTAAAATATGCGTGCTCTGAGCATCAAGTGAATAATATAAGTAGACACATGACCGGAAGGCTGAAGCTGAAGCCGCAATTGACAAGCACTAGGCTGGATGTAGTACTATTTTAAGTCCTACCCCTCCACGTAAACAGGTGGGACATTTTCCTGACTAAAAGTACTTTGCTAACACGTCAGATAATTCATTTCAGATTATTTTTATTGATATATGTAATCTTACCTCACTTCTATATGTTCTATATGTTATAGGGGAATGAGATGGGGTAGAGTCAGGGCAGCTGACCTAGGACCCAAAAGTCCCAGGCTCAATCCCAAGTCATTGCACGTCTTGTGGTGTCTCTGAGCAGGACACCCTATCCCCACTTGCCTCCCAGGTGCCCCCAACAGCTGCTCACCGCTCCACCCGGGGGTGGATGGGTTAAATGCAGAGAGTCAATTTCGCCATTGTATGGGAACATACAATGATGACAATACATAACACATTATTATTATGTTTATACATGTAGTTTTATTTAGTTATTTAAGGCTTAAAGAAAAGGGTCATGCTACGCTATGATTGAGAGTATTACAGCCTGTTAGCCAGTTGGGAGAGTGTAGACCAAGGCTGTTGTATAGAGAGTACAGCCCATGAAGCTAATGGACAAACTGGCTCCAAATGGCAGTGCCCCAAAACCCCGAACATTGTGGCTTCAATTTTGAACATTGGCAGGAAGCAGAGACAGTTTATCTGTCTTCCTTAATAATATTGTGTATTTGCAATTGATGCAGGGGCAGCTGAATGTGTCAGTCCACCTATTAGTGCATGCATGTAGTCATATTTCTGATTCATGCATAGCCTCAGCACCATTGGCCTGCAACACTTTACTCAGCACAAATGTGTGGTCACACATATATTACTTTGGTTGAGAAAGCAGTGGCATACTAAACAAACAACGTAACTTCGGTGTTTCTCATACATTACTGGCCTTGGCAGGGCGCACTCCTTGGAAAATGGTAGGGGAAACACTGAGATTTTCTTTCCCCAATGTGTTGTTTTTGAGAAATAGTTGTTTTAAAAACCTGATTGTTTTTAAGGCTCTGATTTGGCATATCTTTAGCTTAGCCTGGAGGCTTCATACTCCACTATGCTCTTTGACAGATGTCATGGCTCATAAGGTGAATAACTATTTGACAGAACATCACTTGAAAAATGACCAGACTGTCCCTTTTAGTTTCGTATACAAATATTTATTTACTGAATGTTTGTAGAATTATCTCATTTTATTTCATCCTTGAACTCCCAGGATTCTAAATGCTCTTACTTCAGCTTGCATTTCTTAGACTCTTGTTTCACTTTCATTAAATCAAATCTCTTTTTGACGGAGGTTACGTGAACGCATCAGCAGCCTGCCTGCGGACTCGGAGAACTCCATTCTTGTTGCTCCCGTCTCCTGATTGGCTGAGCTGGTTCGAAAAGGGGCGTGTCCGTGTCCTGACACCAGTCTGCTCTGGAAGCAGCGAAAGGTGGAGATATTTTCCCCCATCACACGCTAGTCACAAACACACACACACATACACACACACACCCCCAATATAAACACAAAAAGCGACACAAACGGGACCCATACGAACGGTGAGTGTCTAATTTTAAGATTTAATTCAGCTTTGAGACGTGTCATCGCGTCGCTGACGTTGTTTTCCTGTGCTCTCGCGCTGCGCCATCCTCTCTCGTGCCTCTACAAATGAAGGATGCCATTCGGAGCCATAGTTAGAACGTGATTTAGGTGTCGCGGTGCACTGGCATTATAAACACGAGCCTATATTTAGCTTGTTATGTGTTGTTCGGACATTTGTTGTTCTCATAATGTAAGAAGATAGTGGGCGTGTGAGGAGGAGGGGGGAGTGGGGGGGGGGGGTCTGTGTCTCATGCAGAGGTCCGTGGATTCGTGTCTCTTTGTTGTGGTGCCGCAGTCAGGATGGTACATCCCTCCCCACAGATTAAAAAAACATCAATTTTTAGAACAAACATGAATATTCCTCTGTTTGGCTAACTGTTAAAGCAACAATGCATGGACTATTTTTCCTCAATTTTTCTGTTATTCATATGTGCGTTGAGCTTTAGATGATAAATTATAGTAGTTTTATAGTATTTCCTGTAGGACTGTGTATACAAACAGTTTAGCCAACAGCTCTGTTCATAAGGCTTTTTTTAACCCACAATTTTCTAATATTACAGCAGTTCTAGAAAGAGCTTGATGTGAAAGTAAACCAGCCATTATACAGTAATTCCCCCATCCCCACTCTGCACACACACACACAGGCACACAGCTGCAGACACACACACACACACACACACACACTGTATTCTCTGTAAGGATTAGGACACATTGTTGAATCTTTGCTCATTTCCCCCCTCTCTGGCTGTTTCTGTCTTCTGTCCTCTGTGTGTTTGACATGTGAAAGTCAACAGTCTGTGTTTGGTGATAACAAATCCACTGTAGACTCATTAATGAATAGACTACCACTACAGTGTTAACATACTATGGGAAAATAAATATCTTCAATTTGCAAATGGTTGTGCAGTTTGAGAAATATCTTTACTGACTACCGGTATATGTTCTAATATGCAACGCTTGCAGCACTTCACAGAGTCTACATGATGCAACCCTGAGTAAAATAACTGAACATGTGGCGGGCTGCACCATTTTGTAAAGAGGAGGTATATAGTGTTGTCGTCATATACATCAGTCTGACATGCTTTGTGTCTTTAAGAGGGTAAGACAATAATAGTGCGCCAAACTCAGGGAACTTGTTTTCCTCTTTTTATATTTTTCTACATTTTTTGCAGTCTAACCACTGAATATCTGCACAGTCTGTGATATTTTAGTTGCTTGTTTATCAAAACATTCAGCTCATTCAGATGGGTGCTACTACTTTTGTATTTTTGTAACTTGTAATTTTTTGATTTTTTTTTTTTTACATTATTTACAAATGTTTTCCTCACATAAATGTGTTGAGATCTCTAAAAGTGTCTTCAAAAACATTGCTCTCTTTGAAATTTACTTTAGCATTTTGACTCAGTTTTTTATTTTTATTTTTTACGATGACTTTCTTGCTATTGTTCTGCTACTTTTAGCTTTTAGGTAGCTTTTTGTTACTTGTATCTTTTAGCTACTGTTCTGCTACTTTTAGTTTTTATCATATTCCGCTAACCAAAACATTAGTTTGGGTAATGCTAAGCCACTTAACAGGTAAAAAAAATCTTGTGGATTTTTGCTACTTTAGCTGCTACCTAGCATTTTTTTTTTTTTTTTTTTTTTTTTTTGCTTTAAGCTGTTACTTTGTAGCTTTTAGCTAGCTTTTGGATACTTTTTTGCTTTTAGTCAACCTTTTGTTTTAGTTGGGCTTTTGCAACTTTTGGCTTGTAACTGGTCATTTAATATTTTTTACTTTCAGCTAGCCTATGCTACTTTGAACAAATTAGTTAGCAATCTGCTATTTTTGTTATCATCATTGTGCTTCTTTTAGCTTTCATTTTTTGTTTTGGCTTTTAGCTTTTTAGCTTTAGTTTCATCTTGTTCTGCAAATTTAGTACTCGGCATTCAATCAGTAATTTCACAGAAAATGTTATATTTCTTGTTTTCAGATTGTGTTTTTATTTGTGGAGCTTTTTCTGGACCTATCAAACATAGCTACTGTACGTCTCACTGAATATCTCTGGAATGTTTATTTATGCATTCCTTTGGGTTAGCCCACATGAATGTTTGCCCATGGAGCAGAGATTTTTTTTAAAAACAATTTTCTATAATGTGTTGTAAAGTGTAGTGAGACATGATTGCCAAAAGCTCCTTCCTAGTCCAAGTTTTGTAAATATTTTTATTGTCATGAAGGAATATTTTGCCCGTTTTGAGGTTGGGTTCTATGGAGAAATTATAAACAATATCTTACAGTAGTTGATAGTTTTTTGAATGGCCTCTGTTTAGAGGAATAAAGTTTAAATCTTACAGACTGATTATTGAACCAACTCCAATCTTAAAATCAATGATTGCAGTTTATGCAAACACTGCTTATTTGATTTTGCACCACTACTATCAAGTTTTCATTACATGGTTATTTATATTTACCAATTCTGTGAGTATTTGTGAACACAAATATCCACTGCAGCTGCTAGCTGTAGCACCTCTGTTGCAGCTTGGGGGTGGAAGTGGGGGGGTGGAAGTGGGGAGGGGGAACAGAAAATCATAACGTCATTATCAAAGTTTGTTGCAAAACTGACTGTGATGTTAAGGTTGAATGGTTTTAGGTTTTGTTAGGGGTGGCACGGTGCAATTGGTAGAGCTGTCGCCGCAGAGAGATTGGCTGCTGGACTGAATCTCAGCCGGGGTGAAGTTTGTATGTTCTTATCATGCATGCATGTTTTTCTCTGGATACTCCGGTTTCCTTCCATAAACCAAAAACATACACACGTTATGTTTATTGGTAATTCTAAGTTGTGCCTAAGTGTGAATGAGAGTGTGAATGGGGCATAGGCGTTGCAACCATTATAAGTGAAGGGGACAATTCCCCCCCACATTAAAAAAACGTTCATTTGGACCACCCCCACTTTTACTATAAAACATTAGTTCAGGCGGTGCAGTTTCTCTTTCTTCGTGAACAAATCCATTCCACTTGATTAATAGGAGAATATTCAAGCCACTAAAACTCCACTCCAGGTTTTCCTGGTGACCTCCAACTCTCCACCGTCCCTCGGCAGAAAACGCGCACAGGTGAAGGAGGTGGTGGTATCTGTGTTCCTCGCACGCCAGTTTAGCAGCTTAGTGTGGGCAGTTGTTGACCAGGGGGTTGATCATAAACATGTATTCATGTTAGGAGGATGCTTGAGAGGAGCTACGTCTGTAGCATGTTAGCTTAGCAGTAACTGTGAGGCTGCAGGTGGAAGAGACGTGGTGTGTTCAGGTGCATTAAAGTTGAAATGTCTTTAAAACCCCACACCTTATTGTCCTCAAAGCTTCATGAGAAACATCATTTAGATGAGTCGTGTTGAACACAAGTAAAAAACAGTCCAGTGGTGATGTTTTTTATTTCTCTATAAAGACAAATAGTGCTGATCTGACGCTCTGTATTAAAGTGTACTAAAGTTAAAATGTCTTTAAAATCCACAGATGAATTTACACAAACTTGGTGAGAAACTTGCTTTAAGTGAGTGGAATTAAAGGAAATCTAGGTGAAATGCTGCTTTTTTGTTCACTAGTGAAGACCTTTTTTTACGTGCACACACACGTGCATGCGTGCACACACACACCTACACACATCATTGTGTCCCCCCCACATTACGGATGCTTCTGACGCCCTTGGAATGGGGCTTTGTCTCTTTGTAGCTCTGTGATGCACGTGCGACCTGTTCAGGGTGCACCCCTGCCTCTTGTACAATGACCACTGGAGATGGGTACCAGTGACCCCCATGACCGGAAAAAGAAGAAGCAGGTAAAAGGGATCCATGATTAGTTGTAACAACAGACTTTATTTGAGAAATGTTTATTTTAGATGTAAAAATAATACAGTAAAACCATTGTAGGCTGTTTAGTTTTATATATATTTAAATAAAATATTGCCACACGGACGTCACCATGTTTTTTACACTGCATTGCATTCTGGGTAAATTACATACGCTCGGTCCTGTAGTGCTAGCTCTGTCCAGTTTTTTTTAAACCATATTGCACTAACATTTGCTATATTTTCAAAACTTAACCTAATATGAAATATACAGACTTGACAGTCATATTGAGTCATATTTGGTAAATCTTTAACAAAATTTCAAAACCTGTGCAAATCTGCACAAAAACTCTTCTGAACTGTATGCACTTTATAAACCATCTAAATGTATCATTTATAACTGGTTCCAGGCGATGTGTCTCATCTGGCCTCTATTCAACCTGTTAAAAAGACAAATTACATTAAGTTTTTTGTATAACTTGTCTATGTAAGTTTTAGTATAATATGAGAAAAAACAGTTACCTTTGAGCTGCAGCTGGTAGCACCAGAGCTTCTCCCACTTTATTATTTCATGGTGACGTTGTGGTGCTGCTTTATCGCTAACAGCTACATGAAGGAATAACATACTTCATCCATCCATCTATCCATTATTTTTTACCCACTTCTTCCATTTTGGGTCACGGGAGTCACCGGTGCCAATGTCCAGCAATCACTGCGAGGGGCGGGGTACACCCTGGACAGGTCCCCAGTCCATCACAGGGACACGGAGAGACAAACAACCATTCACTCTCTCACTCACACTTAGGGACAATTTAGAGTTACCAATCAGTCTAATGCCTCATTTGCACTGCTCCTGATAAGCCCCAACTCTGCACAGCCCGCCACAGAAAGAACCCTTTTGCACCAGCCCTTTAGCTAGTATTTTTAGCTGATTTGAGGCTGATTCAGGACCTCTTTTCGTCCATGCTTCTCTGGTGGGAACGAATGAGCTCAGCCGAGCTGAGTCCTGACTGAAACGTGAATGCAGGACTCTGATTGGTCAGGGGGAGGAGTCACTGGATCTCAGAAACTTTTCACTGAGCCGCCATTTGCAATTTCTCTGGATGCGGAGCAGCGGCTGGTTCTGTTTTAAAGATTTTA